ATACCATAAACATACATAGCGAATGAAAAATATATCCATTAAGCTGGAAGCTCCAGGTGGCCCACGAAATTCAAATTTTCTTGCGTTTTTTGGTATTTGTAGGTCAGTGTCAGGTTGTATGTTTAACAAAATATGATTCGCGACCGTAACGAGTATGTATTTACAGAATTATAATCATTATAATCATCAATACAACCGTCTATGTTCCTATAATCCCAATGTATAGCTATTTCCAGAAAAACTCATTCAAAGGGATCATACAAACTTAGAGGGTTGTATTGGTGATTTTAATGATAATAATTCTATAAACACATACTCGTTACGGCTTACAGCTCAAAATGTTCCTACTCTGTTAAGTTGTTCTAAAACCTAAAGTAACGTTTAAGAAATAGCAATAGGCTATTAGGTAATTGCGAGAATCTTGTTGCAAGACCAAGACTGGGAGCGCAATACCAAGACCAATATTGGCTAAGTCTCATCTTGTTCTTGCATTTGGGCAACACTAATCCCCGGTCGAGCCAACCCATTCATGCTACAACCATGATATTGCTGCAGCGTAGCGTGTCAAATTTAAAACGATATTTCCACAATTATTTCTTGTGACACCAACGCTCCCGGTACCAACTAGTTCTATATAAAAAAAGAGCCAAGGCTATATATATATATACAGATTCATTGATATTTCGATAAAACTGGTGCCATTCTCAACGCGTCCAGCGAGACGTACACTCTCCTCTCATACTGAACGGCAGGCATGTGTAGACAGTTCTGATATTGCCCTGATCGCTGATCACTCTAGATTTCCCCTGCGGCAAGTAAGTGAGTAGCCCATAGAATTTCTATGGAGTAGCCGCCTTAACCCTTTATAGGACGGCTCATACAAAGTGGCCAGTAAACTGGACAGTCACTTGAAGGTCGTTATCTCATAGATTTTTATTTAAATATTGAATCTTATCAACATTTACGACCCATGTTAGAGCACACTGGCCCGTTGACAGACCAGCTTTCAAGTTTATCACGCACTGTCACAGATTCGCGGCTTTTTTCAAGATGGCCTGTCTACTGGCCACCGTGCACCCGCGCATGAATATTTGATGTCATCGCGTGTATATGTTACGTGTTGGTATTGGTATGTGAAAAAGTAAGTGAAACTATTATTTTATAGTATATACTTTGATGTTATGTGCAAATGTAATCGAGGATAGTAACATGTATTTTTGGCAATTGAATAGAAACAGGTCTGTTGAAAAAATATACCCTAAAAATTGCCTACCTAACTTTGAGCTATTGTATTGAGTATTTATTTTCGAGTAATACTTTTGAACCATATCGTTTTATAACAAGTATATAAGCATTTATTATAATAAAATAAGAAATTTACCATAAACAACCTTGCTCGCCAGTTATAACATATTATTATGAATGTTTTAGTTTTTTTTAGCCATGTTTTTTGCAGGTATGCAGGTACTTACGAAAATCGTTGTATAATAGTTTTGCATTGTAATTTCCACATTGTTTTAGACACAGATACACTTAGAGGAAGTGGGAGTAACTAGATGAGGACTGATAGAATGTCGTAGATATAACAGATGACCAGGCCAATCGGACGTCAGTGGTGATTCAGGTGCTGATGATTGTTTCGACAACAGTGTTACATTGATACCAGCAATCTGAGCACACATAGTCGAAGTGACGGATCAGGTCCTGGAACATCGTCTTCATCACAACCACCACAGAAGTTTTTGTTTCTGCCACCATCATCTATACCATCATCACCACCTCCACAACCGCCGCTATCTCCACCACCACCGCCGCATCACCGAACCCGGCAAAGTATAACGAGTTTATTTCTCCCGAAGACGCAGGTCCTCAAGAGAATTTAGTAAATGGAGATCTAAACATAGAATTATTACGCATAGAATACTCGTACGCGCGCCGAAAGTGAAGCAAGTAAAACTAACGCGAAACCGCGTTAGTTGACTCAGCGACGCGTCAGTGCGCAACGTCACGCCTTACGGAGAAGAGCTCGCGAAAAATTGTATAAATTACCGTTTGTGTTGTAAAATATTGTCACAACGGTGATGATAAACATAAAAGAAGTGATGGTATTACATTTCACATATAAGTTTATACATTTAATTCATTATAAGTACGTAAAACTAAAAAAATACTTACCTAAGCTCTCATAATACAAATGTTGCTAGTTGTGGGGAAAAAAACACAATTGTCTTTTAAAAATATTTATTTTCTATTTGTGTTTAAAACGTTTAATCGCAACGCTCTGTGTAAAACTCAAACGTTTATATATAGATACCTACTTCTCTAAGTGTTAACATTATATTAACAATGGGTACCTATTTAAAACTAATACGGGTTGATCAGCTCATCGCGATTCGTCGACGCCATTTTAACGCAACTATTATATTTTAATTACTTATTTTATTGACTAAGGTTACCTTTTAGAGTATAGAATAAAACTTTTTTATTTACAACATCATGAGATTATTAATAAGAACGCCTTTACTAACCAGATATCACTTTACACCCAAACATTAACCAGGTGTTACGTTAGACCCAAACATAGCCTATTTTAACCTACTCCCAAAAAGAAAGGTTATCAATATGTATGTACACTGATTTCTAAGCTTGATCAATTCGTATATACATGCTGAAATTTTAGTGGTTGTTGTCCCGCAGCCAAATTATAGTGTATCGATAGTAGAGTCAATTTATTAAATTAAAAAATATTACAATTTAAAAAGGGCAGATTTACAATAGTAATACCTCACAAGCTATTCGGGCATCCAAACTAGTTTATGTTGTATCACTACGCTTGAGAGTTCATGTTATAAACATTTATTAGTGGCCCTTCACTGTGTAGGAAGCGCGCGGTAGCACGTGCGATAGACGTAACACTACATTACGTCCAGCGAATTTTTTTTTCAGACTTTATTTTAGTAATTTGGTATAAGCTAGCCTGCACACCCGACCTACTCGCGAGATATTGCTATTGGTTTGAGATCGCATTCGAGTTTTGTTTTTCTCGGTTGTAAATCTGCCATTTTTACATCCTAATAATTTTATTTTAATAAATCTATTGTACTACTAAGGCAAAATCATTTTACTTCGGGAAAACAACCATTAAAATTTCATCGTGTCTATTGGATCAATCTGTGTGTATATCCTTTCAAATAAAAAATCTAAATCGGTTTAGAAATGGTAGAATTCTGAGGTAAAAAACATTAAAAAAATAAACCGAATTGATAACCTCCTCCCTTTTTAAAGTCGGTTAAAATTAAACATTACACGATGTGCTTATTTTATTCGAGCAAATTAAGTGTGTATAATAATATTCTTAAATTTTATTACGTCTGCATTTTTTACCATTAATATAATAAAGTTATATTAGTACCATCATTATCGTGTTTATTTTATTCCATTTTATATTCTCATAAAATACATCTTCGTACGTAATACGTAATCTTTATTATATCGATTTTTTAAAATTAATCAAAAAATAGTAATTTGCACAATTTGATAGCAAACGCCAGAAACTGGTATCACTGAATGTCGTGTATGTGTGCGTGTGACGAGCGTAGGCACATTCGACTCGCGCCCACTAACATTATGACCTTGCATCATTTTAACGCTCGCGTTTTGTACTGGACTGCGCTTCTATGCGTAATAATTCTATGGATCTAAATAAGTGGAGTAATGAAAAACTTCGAGATCCACCGATATACAGGAATAGTAACTTCAATAATACTAATATTCTATCTATACTAATACTTCGTACAAACAGAATTTTATCTAAATTCACAGGAGATACGATACCTTGACTTCCTTTTCGAGAAAATGAAGAGACCGATCATAAGCTTATAAAATCTAAGAAAAATTTGCGTAGATGTAGATACTGCAGTACCGCGTCTAAGTCAAAGAGAAGTGTCTAAGAATGCGTTCAATGTGATGTAGCCATATGTGACGAATGCTTTGTACCATTCCGTGATGAAGGGCAAATTAAAAACCGAAGGTGATCATTCAATTGATAATATCAATAAGTATGTATGACTGTGATAAGAAAAATTAAAATATTATCTTTTAGAAGAAAAATGTTATGTTAATTATATATGACTTATTGTTCTATGTGAAGTATAATAAGTTTTATTATTAAATGCTGACTAGGAAATTCATAACTGAAGTCTTTTTTTATATCCCTTCACAAAAGTAATATAGATTTCGTTAGTGTCCACTTTACTGTCCAGTGATATTGCAGTGATGGTTAGTGACGCGGAACGTTCAGTGGCCTGTTTACTAGCCACATGATTTTCGAGATTTTCTCGAAAAACAATGATTTTCAGGTTTTTTTCTGAAACATGCCATTATGATTTACGGCACGGAATATATATGTATCATAAAATATTAGAAATTCAAAAAAAAGTTAGGGTATGCGTTAATGGGTTAAGGTATCAACCGAGTGTTGTAAAAGTATCTGATAGAAAACTTTGGTATGCACAAGTTGGATTAAAAAAGGGTGGGGTGTATGAATCAATCTGATACGGTTGCTTTATGGTTAATACTGACCTTGTTTAAGTTGATTACGAGTCAGATGATGTGGGTCAATTTGTGTATTTAGCAAGAATGATAAATATTTATTACAAGGAGTAAATGGGGCTCTTCACTCTGTAGGACGAATGAATGAATGAGTGACAAAACAAATTTATGCCACAGAAGTGGATTATGGGTAAAGAAAGGTATTAAGGAACGAGGGGGGTGTAAAGCTTGTGCCAAATGAAGTATGTAATCTCTGTCTACCTCACGGGGTAACATGAGTGAGCGTTTATGAATGAATATCTCTGCGATCGGGAGTCAGGACTGGAATAAATTAACAGAATCACGATATCCTATCGGTTATAATGTGATTTACATTCAGTTTATCGTCAGCACACGTTACTGACCCTAAACATTATGACAGGTTTTTGAAAGGAAACACCACTAATTTTATAACGATTTATTGTACAAAACAATCATACGTTAAAATGTACAGGTATGTTTATTTTTTGGACTCTCTTAGGTCCCAAACACTGGATAATAAGTATATCCTTCCCTTACAGACACCATATTGCTCGTCGAGGCGTCAGCACTAATAGAAATATAGATTCGACTCTAGATAAGCAAACTATAAATAAGATAAAAATATAATAATAATAAATTAATAGCATGCTGTCAACTTAAGTACACAATAGTTTATCGCACTGCTTCTGTCGACGGGCACCATGTAGTCTTTGAAAAAACAACGTAATTAAACAAATCAATTAAACCTCCTAAGCATACTGTATAGTAAAATATATACACGTTATGAACATATCCTCTCCGGTGATCGAGCGCAGCGGCGGGTCTCCCAGTGTGGCGCGGCCTCAACGTAACGTCGCGAAACATTCGCTCGGAAACAATTAAAAGCCAATGATAACGTTCTGGGAGATGGGAGCGGTCGAAGTAGCAGAGAGAAGCGTGTGAGGAACTATGTATCGGTGGCGCTTACCACTTGTCAACGACCACCTCAACTGTAAAACAACGTTAGCGTTAGTGTGGTGTTCGCGAGTCGAGCGCCGCCGTGCGAACTTACTGGCTCTGTGCAGATATCACAACTGTGTCGTAGTAATTTACTATGTGTAGTTTTTTCACTGCGGGATCACAACAAACAATGAGTGTTCATGGAATATATGCGTGCGGTGGTGCGGAGACTCCCGGCGCTTACAGCTTCCACGTCGGCTGGGCTGGGGGCAGACAACACGACGTTAGTGCATGCGGGAGGGGAATCGCCACTGTACCATTGCTATGTGTGGCGAACACGAATTTAAAGTTTTGCAATACGAATTCCAAATAAAACGAAAACGATTGCCTCAACTTCCAAAGTGAACAACGTTTCGTTTTAGATGGAGTCCGTAATATATTTTTGTCTAATATTTTAAAGTATTTTGACATAATAAAGCCAATAACAGCAATTCTTCTTCAAGCTTGCAAAACTTCTAGTAGTGTTAGCTGGAAAACTAAAATCAACGCAAGTTAGTAATTTGTGCAATAACTGTACCTGTTCTTTTTATCCGAATAGAGGGAAGTGTGCAATTCATTGGAAAAATAATTAGAACATAAGGTTGATATAGAACAATATAAGGAAAATAACAAACATTTGGTTGGATATTTTAATTAACGTAAATTATTATGGGATATTCAACTGTTTATGTGTTCACTACATTTTATTTTGGTGTATGGCATTCAGAGGTCAAGGATATTCGTTTACAAATTTTGAGCATGCCCTTCATTGTGCAGTGTCGATTTATTGTATGTTCATGACCAATGTCTTCATTACGTAATTGTTATATAACACATATTCAATACATCTTAAACATTTGTTTCTCAAATCAAATTCAAACATCAAACTGTACTCCTGATTTATAGAACATGCATCTCAAACATGCGGAATCTTATATTATTATAAAAACTTATGTAAGGACCTTTACCTTAATGCTAAAGAAATGGACAAATTTCTTTATGACAATTTTGTATAACTTATGATATTATCAAATACTATGTTATATTTCCATAGATTGTATAGTTTGTTTATCAAGTCGATTAAGTATGAATACGAAATTGTTAAACTATTTTTGTTTGTACAATGACTGTGTATTAATTAATTTATAAATAATTTCATTAAATACTCAATTTTTACAAGATATAGACAACAAACTACAAGATAAAGTGTGACATGTAACAATGTAAATTTATTGCATCAAATTTATATGTAAATGTTCTGAACAAAGTACATAGTTAATTTAAATGCAAGACATTCGTTAAATTAGTAAAAAAAGTTAGGTATAGGCGTACAAACCAATAGCAGCGGATCTTCCTCCTAAAAGATTAAGGCGAAAAAAGGATTGAAATGCATTTTGGGTATGTTAACAAGCGACCACAAGTGAAAGGACAGAGGAAATAAGACTGATGTTCCCTTTAAAACTTTAAATATATATATAATGCAGAGCCTAACCATATACTTACATTAAATAACTCTAAGCTAACAATCGACATTACTAGTTTCTAGTAAGTTAAATATGTCTGAAGTCCATATGGACAAGGTACTGAGCCGAGTGCGAGTTTATTAAAGTATTATACGATAGATAAACTGTGCTGTTTTCAAGAAGGAAACTCATTAAAACAACATTTATAAACTTACAGCCTTTATAAATCCTTGTAAAACCAATAGTAAAATTTGGTGTATCATATTAGATAGGGTGGTCTTCACAGCCATTTAACTTTAGCATGTAAAACAAGAGTACATACATATATATATACTCAATAAAGATAAAATGTGAGAGAATCTCATGGACTATGAAGATTGCTAGTATAAAAAATGAATTTATTGTCTCGCACATGCAAAATGCAAAACTAACGGGCTGCGTGGTCGTCGCCACGACTCAATTAAATCTATTCCTAAAATAACAGAACACTACAAGACTTATTGTAGGTATAACTTTAGATACGGAGCGCTTCAGCTGAAGCGCGTCCACGTCGCATGATTATTTTGAGCTTAGCACCGCCATAGTTCAATATCAGATGTTCATAGGTCACTTGTTGTTTCGATAAATTCACTGCGAGTCCTCAGTGGTCCATAACGCGAACACGTGCACTATAGGTCACTTCACACGATGTGCTCCGGTATTAGCATTTTCAAACTGTTAGATGGATGATACTGTGGTGAGCTGAGCTCATAGTCCATTGGTTTCCACAGTAGAATTCTTAACATTACCCATCCTAGTAAACATTCAATGTAAAAATCTGACTATGGTAGCTCTTGCAGCTACAGTATAGCAAGGGTGGGTAGTGGTAGAATTCGATGGGAGGGTATTAAGTGTGAATCAAACGGGGTGTCACGGAACACAATCGGGCCGGCTTATAGGGGTCCGTAGATAATGAGGCCAAAGAAAACGGCCCACATGAGCACAATCCATTGCATGCCGTTGAGCCAGTCAAGTAGAGTGCGCGTATTACCATCGGAGATCTTGCGCGCGATGAATTTGAGCACCTCGTCGAGGAGGACGACTGGGATGGAGAACTTCATCACCGTCATCCATTCGTCTACTGACAGTGGAGTGACTTGGAACACGGCCTGTGTTACATAGTAATACAAATATTATTATTATACTTACAGCATACCAGCATAAAATAACAGCTTAATACTGCTGTGTTTCATATGGTGCGTGTAGGGAACTGGAGACCCTACTGGTAACAAGGGATTATATCTTAGTCCTCAGGGCTGAGAACACATCTATAATTTTTTCTTAATTGAGGATAGACATAGGTGTGTATGGGCCATAGCATTCACTTACCACCAGCTAGACTGTGTGCTTGCTTATCACCCTTAGTTTTTTTTAAATACCTACATCTTGATAAGCACTTCTGCTGTGCGGGATTCGAACCCGCGGCCCTGTATTGCCTCGACCTCTTAGCCGCTGTGCTATGGAGCCGTCAAAATTATAGAGCTTCACTCAATTCTAGGCCACATTATATATATATATATATATATATATATGTTAATCTATATATGTATTACTCGATGCTACATTATATACTATATATAGTAATAATTCTGCTCCTCTCCCATGTTGACCACTGAATCGAAACATAAAGCAAATAATGAGCTTGGTTGGTAAATGTGCATCTCTCGTCTTCTCTCGGTTCATCTAAAATACAGTGGGTTTGCACCCTTTTATATGCTTATGTTGACAAACTGTTCAATGAGTTGAAAAACTAAAATGTAAAATTAGTTTTGGTTGGCTATTCATAATAAATATATGCTGTAGATTTATGTTTTGATGCAAATATAATTACAATAACATCAAAATGTAATATTATTATTTTTTAATATTTAATAAACTTAACATTTAAAATTACTCAATTTTTTGTATTCATGTAATAAATAATCCAGCAAACTCTAAATTACTATAGAGGGTTATTTTGTAATATACGGCCAAATTTGCAGAGGTTCAGAATATTGTGGAAATTTATTATTTTAACTTATTGTTATTAAAAAATATGTAACGCCTTTACTTTACTTTTACACCGCTAGGTACTTTCGCCCGACCGGCCGACAGTGAAGCCTTGACCGTGACCTTATTTTCTATTTTTAAATTTTATATAATAAATAAAAATATTTTTTAAATTTTCGTAGGTAGTATTACTTGTCACTTCGCTAGCAATGACACTACGAAAATTTCGAACCGCGAATACTATTAAATGGTACTATGTTACATTGTAAGTTTACGTGGTGCGCAATGAAAGTGGTGTTATTCAAGATTTCCGAGAACGATATGTCCCTAGTGTTGCTGAATAGTTTTTATTTCAAACACGACGGTGCTCCATGTAATTAATGTAAAAAACAATTTGAGGAGACGTGCTCAACTATGCATTGAGAGAAACCGACTCCATTTTGAACACCTATTAAAATACCAATAAGTTAGTGTTATTTCAAGTGATTGCATTTATGTTTTAAATAGTTCGTTGTTGTGATTACTATATGTAATTTTTTAATTAATTTATTTAATATGACGGTCCTAAGGCCGATTAAAGTATGAAGGGAAAATTGGAATCCTAATAATTCGCGTCGTGCAGTTATCATCAACTAAGAAGAGTGCGTGTTATTAAGGACGTAAGTAGTAAGCAAAAGCTCCGTGCATTGACTCGTACACACACGAGCACGCGTATGCTGTAGTTGTTGCCCATAAATCACATCCAATTTCGGATATTTTCAAATAAATGTAGAAACCTTACTTACGCGTATTTTTAAAAATTGCAAAGAGTGTATATCAGTATTTATATTTTGAACTTAATTATTAAAATTGGCTAGTCTTTGAAAAATAACCCTGTATATTATACTTAAAGTATTTTAGAGTTCGTTCATTTTATTGTTAATAATACTAAATAAAGTTCGCTTTATTTTGTTGAATGCGGACGGTACTATATTATTACATCAGATGATGTTGCTTGAAGTTCCTTCTGCATAATTTTTAATGTAGTACTATACTATACTATACTATATTGGAAATTCTAACTCAAATTATCATACCCATTAAAGTCTGTAATTAACCAATTATTCTAATATTTTTTTTTAGTCATATGGCTAAAAACCTTTAACAAATAGGCTTACTAGTTTAGTATATAGGGGCATAGATAACTAAAACAATGTGACTCACCGAAAGGACCTCAACATATAGAATGACGAAGTGGAGTGTGAATGAAAGCGCCATTGAGCCAACAAGCCACATGTTGGACCATGGAGGCATGGTCACGAGCGACTGGTTCTCAGACAAGCTGTTCATGGCGTTCAACATCTCAATGGTTACAAGTACTGATAACGCCATAGTCATGGGGTGAGGGTCAGTGAAGATCTTGCAGTCGATGCCCTGGAAAATGATAAAATATTGTTTAGAAAACATTTGTATTAATAATCATCCATTACTTTTAATCAAATATATTTTTTTAAATTTAATTTTATATTGTTCTTGGATGGCACCAAATAAACAGACAGAATCTTACATACTATGAAATATATTTACATTATTGATTTTTTCTACTTTTTTTTAATCAATGAAACATTCAATTCCTTGGTGTGGGAATACATTTCATGTTGTATCATTGGTACCGAGGAGATCAAACCCAGGTTGCTTGTTTACTGTTAAATTTACGGCATGAATTAAGTTATTCTTACCTTGAAATCATCACCTCCACCGAGGCATTGCAAGTGGTGGGTGAGCTGCCAGTAGGTCATCTGGGGTCCGTATGGGGAGTACATGAACCACCATGAAGCAGCACCAACTGTCGCCATACCGACGTAACCACCAATTGCCATGTACCTGGAAATATTACAAGCCAAGTTACATACATTGGTAAAACAATTATAGAAGTCTTATTTCGTCAATTTCTCCTCATTAATAGCTTTTTTTTACACTATTTAACAACTGTAAGACAAAGAAATCTTAAAAAAATAAGACTTAAAAAAGCGACGTAAGACGCGTAACATGTCTGTTAAATGCCAGCGGCTTATTGTGCATTCGAACCAAACGGTTTTCTACATTGTCCGTCATGTGTAAAGCAAAGGAGAGTGAATAGGCTTTTGTTAAGTCAGTGCGCTTCACCATCTTAGGCTATATCACCTGGATTGTAGTCAAGCGCTAGCTTAGAATAGTATAAAAAAAAAAAACATTTTTCATCATAATATACAATTAACACGGTAACGTAACCTAGTCTACTCTTATATGACAAGAAAGGAGAGGAAATTTTGTATGTTTTTCGACCACAGCACAAGGCAACGATGAAACAAAAAATCTGCATTATGAAGTTTCACTCTGATGCATATTAAATAATTATAATTATAAATATTAATAAATATGTCACATAATCAATGGTATTTTAGATTTTTTTAGTCGATTAGGCACGTAAATCATGTTTCTTAAAAATCATTACCTGAAGAACAGCCATCCAGAGATGAGACCTTCGTCAGCTTTACGTGGGGGTTTGCTCATGATGTCAAGATCGGGAGGATTGAAACCCAAAGCAGTGGCGGGGAGACCATCAGTGACCAGGTTGACCCAAAGAAGTTGCACAGGGATTAAGGCTTCAGGGAGACCCAAGGCGGCAGTAAGGAAGATGGACACTACTTCACCAATGTTTGAGGAGATCAGGTAACGGATGAACTGCTTCATGTTGTTGTAGATAGCACGACCTGTTAATGAATGAAGTATTTTAACAGTGGTAGAGCCACGCGGCAGCTTTTGCTGTCGCACGGATGGGCCGGCTCGAACCGGGGTGTTACCACGAATACCAGCGTGAAGTAGAGGTTTACCTCTGCATTTCGCTTGGTGAGTGCAGGTGGCCGGAGGCGCTTTTTACTGGAAATGAGGCATTCCATCTTAGTCCTCACGGGTGACAACGCATCTGCATTTTGATTCGCAAACGAGGATAGATGTAGATGTCTATGGGCCGCAGCAACCACTTACCATCAGGTGGACTGTGTGCTCATTTGTCACCCTTATCTTATATAAAAAAAAAATAATCTCAAAGCGACAGTGTGTAGGGACCACGGACTTAAAAAGACGTGATTCGAACTCGCCATTCCTCTACTGACGAATTAAGGTTAAATTTTTTTTCCAAAATTACTGCTATAACATTATTTGTGATAGTTTACGGACTACAACAATATTATTGTGTTAGTGCTTTCATATCTAGCTCAGATTGTTTGCATATAATGTAATTTATCAAGTATGTGAGCTACTACAATCCTTTCTCGTTAAGTTATGCACGCAAGGAAGCTAATGTCATTAGGTTATGATCGGCCAGTTGTAGAATTGGTCCAGCATGGAACGTTCGTTTCATTGGGCGATCAACTTTAGCGCGCATTGAACAATTATTTCTTACCGACCGTTTGGGTCAATATAAAATAGATTTCATAGAAGAAGTATGTAGTCTACTTCTTAAAAGACAAGACAGAAATAAACTGTTTGCACCATTATTATGTACAAGACTAGTGAAGGAGCAATTTGTCCAGTCCTAATTATAAGACATTTTTCGAATTAATCTCCATTTCATCCATTTTAGGAGATTGGCCGAATAACAGACAATATACTTATGCGTGCGCGACCTTTCATATAAAATTATAGATGTGTAGGCAGTAGATAGAAAAGAGGAGATTCATTTATAGATGTGTGGCAGTAGATAGAAAAGGATAGTCATTTTAACATCATACCTTCTTCAACAGCAGCGACGATGGATGAGAAGTTATCGTCAGCAAGAACCATCTCAGCGGCGGACTTGGCGACAGCGGTACCGGATCCCATCGCAATACCAATTTCGGCCTTCTTAAGAGCAGGGGCGTCATTTACACCGTCACCGGTCTGGAATGTTAAAAAAAATATAAGAACGTTGCATAAGACACTAAACAAAGATCTTCCTCCATATTTGATTCTGTTTAGTTATGAAAACGTAGCAAATTCAATTTTTTTTTATAGAATAAGGGTGATAAACGCGCACACAGTCCACCTGATGGTAAGTGGATGCTGTGGCCCATAGACATCTACATTTATCCTCAATTAAGGATCGAAATGCAGATGCGTTGTCACCCGTGAGGACTAAGATGGAATTGATTTCTTTCCAGTAAAAAGGGTCTCCGGTTCTCTACACTCACCATACAAAACACAGCAGCATTAAGCTGCTATTTTACGTTGGTATTCTGTGAGAACGTGGTCCCACCCCGGACGAACCACAATGTAGCTGTAGCATGGGTCTAACACGTAAATAATAATGTAGTAATTTTGTAAGATATTGTCTACTATAAAATTATAATTGAAATATTGTTTTTTTTTTTTGCTATAATAAATATTACTATATAAAATGTGTAAAAAAACAACTAAAGTTACAGACTTTATATATCCGACAAGTGGGTGCACTCTTTATTTCTTAGACATACAGGTTACCTCACAATGTTTTTCTCTTTCACTGTCTAATGGTAATTAATTTAGCACTAAAAATTACAATTAACAATTTTATTTATGACCGGCGGCGATTAAACCCGGTTTGCTCGGAAACTCGAAATTTACGGCGAGCACTTAGCCCCTAAGCTACGGCTTTTTTATTAACACTAACAATAATATAAATAACCATGAGGCTTAAAATGTTTGTGCTAGGATTGGTTCGCAGCTGTAATCGAATTTCATGTCAATTTGACTTATAAGTTTTTAGTTTCGTAGACTATTATGTTACTGTCGTTTTATTAATCTTTTATAAAACGTTTTCTTTAAGATTAGTTAATAATCACAACATTGTGTTTGATTCTGTACGGATTCTCGAGAGCACAGCGCGAAACTGGATTACGCATCCCATTGTATAATCTTAACACTGTTGCTAAGCCAACAAAAACGCATCACGTAATGATGTCTTCTTAATATTGGGACAATCATTTCTAATACATTTTGTTATTGTAATATCGAATTCTACCGTGATAGGTTTGAACGGCAAAGTTTATAAACAGCACCAACTGACTAACATAAACAAATTGGAAAGCATTCTCAATAGTACAATATGTAAACATTAAATAATGCCAGGCAATTGGGTATTTATAAAGATATTGTTCGCAGGTTAATAAATATATTGCAATGTGTATTTGGTTCATAAATAATGTATTCTATATTATATCGCAGTTTCGAATTGTATGGTAAGATACGTTTTGTGTAATCTATATTTATTTCCATTAGTTGGTCGGAATGATTAAGCCAGATTTGCTTTGATGTTTTGCACAGCGGGATAATGTAGAAAACATAAAACTTGATCATCGACGCTGCAGATGTTTTGACGATGACGAAAAAAACAAATGTAATCTGGATGTTATATTTACAGAGTAAAATTATGTTAAGTACATAGTAATATAATAAACATTATTATTAACATTTATAGTAGTTTCCAATAATTGTTATATATAAAGACTATTTTTAAATAGACAATAATGAATATTTAAAATGCAATCGCTAAAATATTTGATAATAAGAGTTCTTTAATACTAACCATAGCTGAGATCTCGTTCATGCTTTGCAAGTATTCAACGATCTTGGACTTGTGGGCGGGCTCCACGCGGGAGAACAGACGGGCTTTAGCACAAGCGTTACGTTGTTCCGCCACGGACAAGTCATCGAACTCGCGACCAGAGTAAGATTTGCCAGTCGTGTCCTCATCTTCGGTGAACACACCGATACGTCTAGAAAAATACAACATGATTACCGATTTTCCCAAGCTAAACTAATGTCAAAAATAATACAGTACCTGCAGATAGCCTCAGCGGTAGACTTGTTGTCACCAGTGATGACAATAACACGGATACCAGCAGCGCGGCAACGAACGATGGAGTCGAAAACTTCTTTGCGAGGGGGGTCCAACATACCCACGACTCCAACGAAGGTGAGGTTAACTTCATAGGTGTGGAATTTGGTGGAGTCGCCGAGGTCCATGTCATCAGGCTTCAGGGGGTTGTCAGCAGTAGCGAGAGCCAGGCAACGGAGGGTATCGCGACCAGTACCGTATTGGCGGGTAAGTTCCAAAATTCGGTTCTTCAGAGTGGAGTTCAAAGCCACCTTGTTAGTTCCGACACGAGCATGAGAACAACGGTCCAATACGCCCTCGGGCGCACCCTTAACGAACAGTTTCGGTCCATTGCCAAGACGGGAGGGTTTGAGAGGTGTGCAGTAGGTCGACATGGACTTCCTATCACGAGAGAACTCAAGGGTAAACTCTTTCTTCCATTTGGTTTCAATTTCCTGGCGGACGACAATAGCAGCAGAACGGCGGTCGAGTCCAGTCTTGGGTACGTTGAATGGGTTCATTTTTTCTGCGAGTACGATAAGAGCGGTTTCGGTGGCCTCACCAACTTTCTCGAAAGCTTGCTTGAATTCGTTAAAATCGATTGCTGAGTCATTGCACATGACACAAATAGTAGCTAATTCGTGAAGGGCATCGAACTCGGAAGCTTTGACTTTTTGTCCTTTCAGGTAAACGTCGCCAATGGGCTCGTAAGTCGAGCCAGTGATCTCAAACTCTAAGAAGCTGCTGTCACCGCCCTCGATTTTCTCGAAGATGAACATACGGGAAACGGACATTTGGTTGGTAGTTAAAGTACCAGTTTTGTCAGAGCAGATAACGGATGTGCAACCAAGAGTTTCTACGGAAGGCAACGACCTAACGATAGCGTTCTTCTTAGCCATTCTCCTTGTACCCAAAGCAAGACACGTGGTAATGACAGCGGGTAGACCTTCAGGGATGGCGGCGACAGCTAAAGCAACGGCGATTTTGAAGTAGTATACGGCACCCTTAATCCAGCTTCCACCATGGGCGGGGTCATTGAAGTGTCCGATGTTAATGGCCCAGACGGCAACGCAAATGACGGAGATGACCTTAGACAACTGCTCACCGAATTCATCGAGTTTTTGTTGCAGCGGTGTCTTGATCTCCTCAGTCTCCGACATTTCTGTACGAATTTTACCAATGGCAGTGTTGAGACCAGTGCCGATGACGATACCTCGGGCTTTTCCGGCAGCAACATTAGTACCAGAGAAAAGAATGTTCTTTTTGTCCTGATTGACAGCGCGGGGGTCGGGAATAGCGTCCGTATGTTTGATAACGGATACTGATTCACCAGTCAAGATGGACTGATCAATACGGATTGTGGTGGAATAGATTTTAATGAGGCGGATATCGGCGGGGATCTTGTCACCGACGGATACTTCAACGATGTCACCGGGCACGATTTCCTTAGCTCGGATTTTCTGTACGCCGGCTTTATCCCCCCTAACAACTTTACCCATTTCTGGTTCGTATTCTTTTAAAGCTTCGATGGCAGATTCTGCGTTCCTTTCCTGTGAAGTAAGTTCTAGGTTACATTGGCAGAAATAAAAAAGTTTTTTTTTAAAAATAATTATTATAAAATTATAATGATAATGTTTGGCATGAATTTTAATATATTATAGTTTCTAATCATACATGTGAATTTAATAATAATGAGAATCAAGTTGTGTTTCAATTATCACCAGAATAATTTATTTATTGAGATTTAAGACAAACAAAACAACACTAAAATAAAAATTACCTGCCATACTCCTACAACAGCGTTGGCAATAAGAATTAATAAAATAACGAATGGTTCTACGAAGGCTGAGAAAGCGTCTTCGTGTTCTTCAAATAAAGCTAAAACCTGCAAGGAATAATATTTGGTTTGTATATACATGAAATCTTTCTCCTAAACATAGTGTATTATTAAAAAAAATACTTACAAAGGAAATAATAGCGGCTAACAACAAGATCTTCACTAAGAGGTCATCGAATTGTTCCAGAACTAACTGCCATATACTTTTGCCTATAAAATACAAATGTATCTCATATAATGTGTAAAAAAGAAAATTTTTGATTAAAGAGAGATATTTAAAAGGCTTCTACGCTGACGTAATGAATCTCGAGAGCGGAAAGTTAAACGAGGTCAAGATTAATATAATTGTAATGTTCTACAAAACGTAAACTTGGAAACTAGGTAATTGAAAAATAGTTATAGGTATTATAAATAACCTCCTTATCTGTTTTAACGCATATTAATTTTTGCTTTGTAGATATTAATTTACTACTAACAGTTCGCATGGAATATCAGCAAGAATTAAGCATAGCTAGTCAACCCTGATCATAATAGGTTGAGAGGATTTATATATTATATCATAAAATTCACATCATGCGAATAATTTCCTGTTTTTTAACATTTATAGTGACGGACGGGAGGTGATTGGAATAGCTTACATAACACGAGTAGATGTTAGATGATTATCTCACTTACCTTCTTCCACAGGCAGTTCTGAAAACAGAAAAGTACCGTAATTAGAGTTTTGAACAAAACATCAAAGGAGTAAAATTTACAAACGATAAACCAGTCAGAGCAGGCATGCGATTTATCTCAGTAGTTACGATTGTATATAAATACTCGTATATTAACTAAATATGTGAAGCAGCCTCAGGCCACCATAACGCAGCGTCGCATTATTTGACGGCTACGAGTCATGTGACGTATCTCCAATAAAATATGTTATTATTGATGGCTTATTAACTAAATAAATTTAATTATCAGCTTTAGTTGTGAAGGGGTGGAGATAAGTATAAACCACGTGTTTGTAATCGGAATTATTATGTAGGTAATCGGTATTGTCAGACTCATTTAAGATTACTTTGTGTTTTCAATTGTTGCTACACATGTGGACTATTAACCGACACATTAGTTGTAATTTGTACTCTATTTTAAACAAAATGATTTTTATTATGTACTTACTTTATCAATAGATAATTTTGCTAAGGTTTTTGTTGAATTGTCTGAGTTTAGATATACTTTGTGCTGGTGTAAACATAAACGATATCAAGGGCAAATATAAGACACACATTATCTTGGTTTGCGGAACGTTGGCAAACGGCTAACGAAACAAAGATGTTAGTTACTTTAAAGAGGATACTGACATAGCAAATTTGTATGTATGATAATTAGTTGTGGCGTCGGTTACATTGGCCCACGTTTGTCCGTGACGTACATGACCCACACTTACGGTGTACACTGACCTCGCAACGTGTACGTCTTTTACATAGACACTGTTTGTATATATTACACCCTTTTTACCTTTATTAAATGCGGAGACTTATTGACTGTGTCGTTAGTCTCGTGGTCGCGACAGCTGATTATCTGGTTCTGGGCTCGAATTCCAGTCCAAAAAAAATCGCAGTAACAGTCCGGAGTACACGTAAAGCCGATTGGCGAAAATTGAAAAGCGAATTCCAGTCCCTTCGGACTATGAGAGTGAGGGAATAGAAGGGTACCTGTGCATGCGGCGCACACACTGGTGCACTATAATCCTGTCCTGCACAGATGGCTAGTCTCTGTCGGGATTAGGCGCCGTGACCGGAGTTCGGTCTAGAGGACATTATTATTATTATTATTATTATAAAACAGAGAAGTATATGCAGCGGAGCGTTGCGTAGACAATTATAAATTACTATAATACAGTTGCAGTGAATGGTTAATCATTTGTTGTTAAGATAATAAAACTAGGTTAACTAAGACGTAAATGTCTTATTTGTTTTGAGTTTGGCATTCAATTTTAAATAATTAATGTAAAAAAGAAAAAAAAATAGTATTAGTAGGATAATTGTAGGGTTTGTTTATTATATGTTACCAAGTTAAAAAATTATATTATCTTATAGATACTAGGAATATTCTATCCCATTCTCCCGCAGGTTTAATCTTATAAATGTAAATGTTTCTCTCTTTTTTGTGTCGCTTTTTCGATTCATCGAGTTTCAGATCATAAAGATTCTAAAGAACTTCAATAAAAAACAACAGTTCATTATTATATTAGTGTGAAACGAATGAATATACCTAGTCATAAAGTTACGTGCTTTATACTGTTTTAATTTTAGGCGAAGAATTTAAGTTATAAAGATAAGGTTTGCGTAGTTAGTTTTCGCGTGCGTTGCAAATATTTGTTCGCATTACCGGTTACACAAGGCGATCACGTTCAAAAGGGCCTTATAAAACGGTTTAACACTTCGCTTTGTGGGTCTCAAACAGACGCGTGTAATCTGGCAACGTGCGCCAAGTCAATCGTAGCGACTCTATTTGCGTACACCGCGGCTGCCAGCCGCGGTAAGACGAATGTGAGCAATTAGTCAACTCGTCGATATCGCCCTGTTAGCATTTGGGTGCTTCCGTCATCGTGGATCAGCGGAACGACACAAACCAAGTGATAACTTTCACGTGCTTAACAGGGAAGGCCGGCTGCTTACAACAGGTCGAATGAAAAAATATTGTGAATGACGGGAGAAAAAAACAAAGTTATTTTTTTGATAGTGAGAAAACAGAAAACTAGGTTATACGTGTAAGGAATGTGTGGGTCCATGTTTACATATCACTAAAATATCATAAGCATATTTAAGAATTAAACAAGATGAATGCCGCCAACTTAAAGAGTGAAGTTTTACGTGGTAGAGCCACGCTGCACTATGTTATGGTTGTAGCATGAATGGGTCGGCTCAACCGGGGTAGGACGACGCTCTCACAAGAATAGAAACGAGGCATTCCATTTTTGTTCTCAGGGATGACTACACATCTACACTTTGATTCTTTAATGAATATTAATGTAGATGTCTATGGACCACAGTATCCACTTACCATCAGGTAGACCGTGTGCTCGTTTGTCACCCTTATTCTATAAAATAAAAAGAGAATATTTCATAAATAAATATATAATAGCTGAGAAGATAGCACGTCTGCCGCATATGTAAGACGCAAGCCGCCAACGTAGACCGTCTAAAATAAACCCGGCTGCTATCCTATCTATATTATATTTTAGTCTCTAGGCACTCTGAGCTCACTGCATCACGCGTCAACATTCCCAGGCGCCTCCTTCTTAGCACAGTCCAGCTTTCCATTAACTGCTTTATGCACTCGACTCTTGCAAAACTACACAAGCAATTTAAATGCATGTGAACCAATTGCCCACATACTCGATACGTTTGTGATTCCAAATACGCTGTTATTATGTAGTTTTAGGTATTAGATTCCAATCATATGAAAATATAAATGGTAAGTTATTGTTTAATATTCAAGAAAGCGTTGGCTTATCCTAGCTTGCTGATTTTAAAATAAACCAAAAGGTGATTAAAACGGCGTAGAAAATTCAAATGATTGATTTTACTTATTAGTGACATTATGAATGTTATTATTACCGACAATATTTTGTAGACACTCTTTTATAGAATAAGGTGACAAGCGAGCACACAGTCCACCTGATGGTAAGTGGGTACCGTGGCCCATAGACATTTACATCTAGCTTCGATTAAAAATCAAAATGCAAATGCGTTATCAACCCTGAGGACTAAGTTTGTATGCCTCGTTTCCATTAAAAAGAGTCTTCGGATCTCTAGGCTCACAATACGAAACAATAGCATTAAGCTGCTACTTTACGCTAGTATTCTGTGAGAGCGAGGTCCTTCCCCGATCTAGCCAATCAATTCGTGCTACAACCATAATAATAATAAGAGCGAATTTCCGTTACGGCAGCCAGTCTCAACGGAGACTTTTCTTGATAGCAAAACGCAATAACTGATTTTAGCCCAACCCGGGATTCGAACCCAAGGCCTCACGGTCAGCAATCGCGTTTACGACCACTAGACTAACGAAGCAGTCAAGGTTGCGCAAGCATAGATGCGCTCGCTATTCCCTCACTCTCATAGTCCGATGGGATGGAAATCACACTTTACACGTGGTAGAGCCATATTGCAGCTATATTATAGTTGTAGTACGAATGGGTCGGCTCGACCGGGGAAGAAACACGCTCTTACAGAATAGCAGCGTAAAATACCAGCTCAATGCTGTTGTGTTTCGTATGGTGAGTGTAGAGAACCGGAGACCCTTTTTACTGGAAACGAGACATTCCATCTTAGTCCTCACGGGTGACAACGCATCTGTATTTTGGTTGTTAATCGAGGTGTCTATGGGCTATCTGAACATTGTTACAGTAGTTAAAAGAATATAAAATAAATATAATAGATGTATGTATGTACTAATTTTATTTAATCTAACTTGACAAGAGTGAACTTATATTTTGCATATAAAACAGAGATAGGTATGCATTTAGCTGGTAAATAAATAAGTGAGTAATTGACGACGATTACAGTATTTAAGAACCTAGATTTTAAACAGGCGGTTAATTTCACACTGATCTATTTTAGTTTGAAGTTTTCCGTATTGTGACCAAGCGTGAAGTGGAGTGACGCGTAGTTTGGGCGCAATGTTCTGAAGCAAAATAATCGCGCGTCGTGCTACAAAGTCGAGAAAATAAACATTGATTTGTCTACAGTTTTGCCGCCAAATAATTATTCTTAGATCAGTGGTTTTTCATACGCGTGAATATTCGTCGAAGCACTTTATAGTTTGGGCACATTTTTTTTTAAAAGTCCATTATTATAATACAGTATCTAATTGTGTGTACTTTAATTCAGCTCATGATGTTTTATCTGCGTAGTCTGCTGAATACAAGTAAAACCCACATATTAAAATGTTCCATAATTTAAGTACTTAAATTTAAAACAATTTGCGTGATAATAGAATAGAATAATTTTTATTCAATATTGATTATTACATAATACTTATTGATAGTAATTTTTTATTTACCACTGGTTCGGAAAATACCTCTGTCCTGGGAAGAAAACCAGCAAGAAACCCGCTGGGTCTTTTTTTTCAAACATATTTCACTTAACAATAATTTCCTTTATACAATTTTTAAATGATTTTTCATAGAACCAGCATGGTGGCGATCACCTTATTCCCAGGGGTTATTTTCATTCATGTATTCCTTGATATTATAATAACTTTTTGCACAGTGTTTCTTTAATAATACTTTTAAACTTGTTTATTGACAAAACATATGATATTTATTATAACAATTAAAAATCGGGTTTATCTAATACATTTTAAAATGCAAAAGCAGTCAAAATATTTCGCAGTTTGTTCTTGGTAACCAACTAAGTCTGTGTCGCGAAGTTGTGGATTCAAAACTATCAATATTACGGTATCGGTCAAGATAAGAAAAAAAATAGGTATTGAAAATATAATCAGTCATATTATTTTCTGCTAGACTTTAAAAGATGAATCTGCTAAAATATTTTTAGTAAATAATATTGCAATCATTCAATTGATTGTTAGATAGATAACGACAAGAAATCATGTTTTTGGTATTTGTTCTGATACATATTACCGCTTTCTTGCATATATATATATATATATATATATATATATATATATATATATATATA